TGAACTCATTCAATTGCCAAACATAGTAAAGAGAACCTCTAACAGAAAAAGCCAAGGGCTACAGTGAGGGGAATCCAGATTTTTCTACCACCTGATTACTGTCTCAATATATAAGTCACTTGAATAAGTCACTTCACTCATCTTACTCTTGGATTCTCATTTGTAAAATGAAGGGACTAAACTAGGTGACTGTGGCTTCATATTTTTATAATCATAGTCAAAACACTGATATAAGAGGTATTTTATTTTGGGAGTTAATAGTATAAATTATTCTCAGGCATGCTGCAGCTCATGAGGTTGCAAAGAGTAGGACATGACTTAGTGACTGAACAACAAATTCTCATTTGATAAGGCTAAAAGGCTGGTGCTTCCTACATAATTAGATGATAGTTTAAATAGTAGTAAGCTAAATGCAGATACTACTTTTTAATTGTAAAGTAATTTCATAAGACTCATAAGGCAATGAGACTCTGTAAAAACATAGTTTTTGTAGGTATTCAGAACTAGTTTAAAATATTAATTCTGCCTAAACTATACAGCCTTCTAATCCAGCCTACATACAACTGCCAAAATTATCTGAAACAGATCTTATAAAGTTATTATGCCTCTGTCAATGACAAAATAGGTTCCAAACTCTAGCATGACAGTCAATGATTCACAATTTGGTTCCATTCTTCTTTTTCTTCTCATGTTCTACATGATCTTGTATTTAGCACAAGATTTCCCAAATAAGACCCCACAATACCACTGTGCTGAGGGACATTAAGACATATTCAATGAAAAAAAAAAAAAGAGTTCCATGGTCAAATAAACCCTCCTCAAATGTCATTTCCTGGGTGAAGCCTTCCTAATATCCTTCTATAAAAATTACTTAATCTCTTTTTATTCCCAAAGTACTTCACTTATATTTGACTTTGGGGCAGTTTTTTTAATTGATAAGTGAACTGAAGTTTAAAGTAAAGCACAGCTATCCCTAAATTTTATATATTTGGTCTTCACATTCTTCCAAGTTCACTATTGCACAAAAATCTAAATAGTACTTTTCATTCTTTTGAAAAACAGAACTTTCGGACAATAAATTAGATTCCAAAGTAATTAGCTATAGGGACATATCATAAAAGTAATATGGGTTTGGGGGAAAAATAGGATCTGGGTTCAATTTCCAGTTCTGCAAACAATAAGCTGAACACTGGGCAAATTACTTAACCTTTCTGACTCTCAGTTATCTCATCTATAAAGTAAAGTAATTCCAATTCCTAAACAGATTTGCTGACATTTTAATAAGATAATGAGTGAGTCAATCTATATAAACTATATATGAAAGAATATATAATATTTAGCACAATATTTAGTAGACACTAAAAAAGTCAGCTTCTTTTCCAAGTATGCTTATATATCCTTCTACTCTAATTTGTAACAAAATGGCACAAACGAAACATAATAGAATAAAAATTTAAAAATGTTAAAAATCTAAGTTTGTTTTTCAAATTGTTTACGTAGTGTGTTATTTCCTGCAAACCTTGAGTGTCAAATTAGAAGGCACAGTAATAAAATACTGATATGGCATGCCTAGAAACAATCTTTAGGAGACATCTACTTTGGCAAGAAGATTTTAAGCAACAGTACTCTTTGAGACATTAGATGAGATCTCATCTGAGATACTCAACTACTGATTGTTCAATTAGCTTCTTTAAAAGGGTTAAATAATTTATTAAATGTCTATTTAATCTATTCTCATGTATGCTTTTGTTTTTGTTTTCCTGCTTAAGACATGTTGGTGTTTCTATTGAATGTGACAGCTATGTGATTTGAATATTATCTTTCGCAAGGCCATTAAGTTAAATAAATAGCATTTGGCTCTCTTTTAGATATGTATGGATCACCTTGGACTCAATAAAGTAGAACTGCTATCAGTCTATTCTTCCTCAGAGAAGTTAATCTGGTTAGCAAGACAATCATCCTTGTTGTGACAGGTACTTTACTTTTACTATCACTACTATCGGGGCTTCCCTTGTAGCTCAGTAGGTAATGAATCTGCCTGCAATGCAGGAGACCTGGGTTTGATTCCTGGGTCAGGAAGATCCCCTGGAGAAGGAAATGGCAACCCACTCCAGGATTTCTTCCTGGAGAATCCCATGGACAGAAGAGCCTAGTGGGCTACAGTCTATGGGGTCGCAAGAGTTGGATACGACTGAGTGAATAAGCAAACACACATCACTACTATCACTACTTCTTCTCTAGCTCAACTCAAATATCTCTTTCAGAAGCCTTCCATGATCATCATAGGCAGAAATTTATGCATGTCATCTTACATCTTCCTAAGTACTCTTAGTATTACACAGTATTATTATGCTTATTGCCTTGTGCTTTGCATTATCTTATATTAATTATTTTTATATGATCTTTATGAAATAGTACATATCCTTGTTTTGAACATTTTACAGATCAAGATATTGGAGAATACAATATTGGAGAGTACAGCAAGAAATTTGTTGATGGATAATAAAATAGCAAGATATTGAGATTCTGAACTTTAAGAAATCAAAGTGGTAAGAAATAAAGATCCCAGCCTTAAGTCAGAGTTCCTTTAGGTTAAACCACATTGCTCTGCTTTCCTTTTTCATTATTTTTAAGATTTTGAAAAATCTTGTCACAAATTCCAAAACAATTGTTCCATTTACAAATTCCAAAGCAATTTTTGTAAGTTTCTACAAATAAAAACATCAACAGTTATATGAAAGAAAAATACTCTAAACTTTGACAATTAGAAGATTCTCAGAATAAGAAGGTCTCTTTTCTTAAAAATGACACTCAGAAGACAACTAGGGATAGGGTTTTTTAAAGCCATAAATAGAAAGTATCAGTTATAATTACTTAACAGATCAGAATAGGATACTCTAGATCAGACATCTGAGGGTAAATTCTCTTTAAATAAAACTACAAAGTAGCAAGGAATACTACTGTATCAAAGCAGTGAGCCATTTTTAGCTACATACAATAAGTATATTTTGTAATTCTATTTTGAGTCATCTAGGTAGATAGACTGTGTCCTTGCCTGCATTAGTATTTCTTTTACATGTTTACTATAAAATGTATATACTACAAATACATTTTTACAAGTTAATCATCCTGATCAGATAGTGAGTTCTGAAACCAACAGCCATGTCCTATATTAATACTAGTTAACATTTACTGAGTGTTTACATGCTAGGTTTAAATGCATTATTTCATTTAAATTTAGACAACTTTAGGAGATAATTATACCAACTTTAGAGATGCAATCTATTGAGCTCTATAAGAGCAGAGACCTCATTATTTCATTCACTAGTATATCTCCTGTGCCTAGTACAGAACCTGGTATACTGAAGGTACTTAAGAAGTGTTTGTTGAATAATGAGGAAACCAGAGCTCAAAAAAGCGAACTTATACAGAAGTAGGAAAGACTAGCTTGAATTCAGTTATGCCTGACTTTAGATTTTAAGTCTGTGCTCTACTGCCTCTTTATTTCCAACATCAGGCTCAGAATTTGGTACTTAGAAAGTATATAGCAAACATCTAACGAATAAATGAATGAATGAATCCCTACCTTCAGATTGCTTATCCACTTCATCTAGCATTCCTCTACTTCTTTATTTCCCTATCCTGATTTTTAATCTCTAAGCTTAGGACATTAGTCATAATTATAAGTTTTCATCCTTCCTATCAGCATACACAGATATCTATTTATCTTCCCTCTACCCAGAGAAGAAAATATTATTGGAAAAACACAGGAAATTGCAGCATGGAAAGTTACATGAATAGTTTGTACCTTTTATTACAAACACAGTACCATATAAGTAAAAAACACAAAAGAGAAAACTGAGTGGTCAAAAACTTAAAAAGATTAACTCAAAATTTTCAAGTAAGAAGTTTATAAAAACTGCAGCATTCTTCACATAAACTTAGTTTATTTTTATACTGTTAATAAATATTTCTAATAAAGGGATAAATATACAAAGATATCACTTCAAGTTATAACAAACAGCAAAGTGAGAATGCCCTCCTCCCAATAGCATCTACCTTTAGACATCCACTTTTAGCTGGCCTATGGAAAAAACCTAGGCACAATAATGTGGATATGGAATTTATTTCTTTAAAAAACATATTTCAGATTATTGTCTAGTTTTAGTTTAAAAGGTTACAGGAACATTTACTTTTTAATATAAACACAAAATATTCTACGAGTATAAGGCCTCTAATCCTCCTGGAATATGTGCTTCCTTGCTTATTTATGTATCTTTATCCTGCTTTGTTAAAAGAATAGTGACAGGAGTCAAACAAATCTAGTTAGAATCCTGGCTCTGCCCCTTAATAACTGTGTAACCATGGGGCAAATTACCTAATATCTCTGAGCTTGTTTTCCTTAAAATGTAGACAATAATCCATAATTTTTAGGACTGCTGTGGAGATTAAAGTCTATGTAGTAATGAGCATAGTGACAGGCACATCACACCACTCAATAAAAAACAGCTCTCTTTATTAAGGATCTCATACTCATTTTACTCTAGTTTCATTCTAGGATGCAGATAAGTTACTATTTCTTATACAAAAGTTTCTTATGTTTGCTTCTCTTGATATAAATAACCTCCCAACTCATATATATTAGACTGAAAATTTCTTGAGTATTTCCCCCATATCTTTTCTAGAAGATAGTGTCATAAAAAAGACTGTTTACATGTGCATGTGAATAATATTTCCTGTTTTTCTGTGCTTATAAGAGCAATGTTGCACCTGCATGATTGTCTAAAAACAGCTAGTGGAGCCTGGGCACTAATGTTCTTGGTATTTCTATTTTGCTTACATCTCCTATAGGAACTTGTCTGCAATCTGTTTTAAACACTGTTCTTTCCTAGAGTATCCACCATTTCATTTCCATAAGCTGTATATGCATATAATATACTAGAAAAGGAAAATGCAAAGCAGGTTAAGTAATAAAATGTGTAATAATTTTCAAAAATTACCTGATGGAATATAGGCTCCTTTACCTTAAGGTAAACCTGAAAAAGAGTAAAAGAAATAGATATGAAAGAAGTGCCTTATGAAGGGGAAAGAAAACCTATACCTGCTACCTTGCAAATCTCATACGTCTCTGGCCTTCGTCTTGCTTCCTAGAACTGACTCCAGCCATGTAAAGCCAATCGGATTGTGTGGCTTGCCACAAAAGGGCTATCACCTACAGGAGTGTCTGCGCCAGTGCCAGCCTCCTAATGTGCTGTTTTCCTTTAGTCGCTAAGTTGTGTCTGAGTGCTGTAACCCCAGGAACTGTAGCCCGCCAGGCTCCTCTGTCCCTGAGATTTCTCAGGCAAGAATACTGCAGTGGGTTGCCATTTCCTTCTCCAAGGGCTCTTCCCGACTCAGGGACTGAAACTGTGTCTCCTGCACCTCAGGCAGATTCTTTACCGCCGAGTCACTAGGGAAGCCCGAGCTTCTTCAAGGCAAGCGAGATACTTCACAGCTGCCGTGGATTACTCTGGCCTCCTGGCCTCTGCATGAGCATCAGGGAGAAGCACAGATGCATGAACACTCATCAGCGCTGAAGAGGTTATGCTGACAATCCCTGCAGCAGATCTGTTTCACAATAGCAAGAACACTGGACTTAGCAGTAAAATTTTAAACTGCCACTTACTTGCTACATGTCTGAGCAAGTCATTTAACTAAAAGACTCATTTTCCTTATCTGGATAATGGGAATAATAATAGGTAGCAATAATTAGCCAAAATATGTGCAAGTCTCTAGCACATAATATATGCTAATGAGTGAAAACATTTAAAATAAATTTCTTGTTCTTTCTTCTGCTTCCAAAAATCATTGCATTCTCTGTGCAAAAATCTCAGTGCATTCACTGAGAAACATTTTCAGTTACACAAACTCTAGTTTCAGGCTCCAATGTCATGTGGGTGATTAAGTTCAATGCCCACTTACTGTATGCATTTATTGCCCTGTAAGAGTACACCTTTAAAAAGACATGGTAGAGAGGAGTCAAAATTTAAATCACAAATCTGAAATGACTCCTATCACTTACAAGACAAAGTCCAAATTTCAAAGCCTTCCCATGACATTGCTCTAGCCTTTCTGTTTGGCCTTATTCCTATCTTCCTGTCTCTTTCTCATCCTAGGCTCCAAAAAGTATACTGCTACCCCAAAGAGGCTAGTTTCATGCTTCTGTATCTTTAAACATGCCATGCTTCACTGTGTTAGCAAATGCCCCTCTGGTAAACACTTATCTTTTAAGATTCAGCTCAAATTTTACCACTTTCTTGAAGTCTTGTGAGTTTTTTTTCTGCTTAGCAGAACCCACCACTCATCCTTCTTTCTACCAGACTGTCAATGTATAAACATTATGGCATTTATTAGTTTCTTTTCTCCCCTACAAGGCAATAAACTTTTTGGTAGAAAGGACCATTCTTATACATCTTTATAGCCTCATTTAACATACTGCTGATCTCACAAATTTTATGTAATTTTACAATGTGCTACAGAACATCTTATTCCTGGAGGAAGTTCCTTCATTACAAGAGTAGATCATTTTCTTAAGCAACCAGAAAGCTTTAATAGTAAGATGTGTATGAAACATTTATATATGTATAACTCTAAACTCTAATAAGGCAGAATGTTTTTAAACTCTGAAATTTGCTATTTCAAAATACTAATTTCCCTTTACATAATTTCAGATTCTCAGTGTTAGTAACAGAAGAAATGCAGAAGAGCAAGGCTCTTAAAAGGCTTTTTTTTTAAAAAAGGCAAAAGAATTATGGAGTCCTTACTATGTACCAAAGGTTAATTTTTACAAGTAATATGAAATGTATGGTTATTACTATTTTCATTTTACAAATGAGGAAATTTCAAGAGGTTAAGTAACTTGTCCAAAGTCCCATAGTTATTAAGTAACAGAGAGTATTTAGTAGGTCCTTAACCAAGACAGGGCTTCCCTGGTGGCTCAGAGGGTAGAGCGTCTGCCTGCAATGTGGGAGACCCGGGTTTGATCCCTGGGTCGGGAAGATCCCCGGGTCGGGAAGATCCCCTGGAGAAGGAAATGGCAACCCACTCCAGTATCCTTGCCTGGAGAATCCCATGGACAGAGGAGCCTCGTAGACTACAGTCCACAGGGTTGCAAAGAGTCGGACAAGACTGAGTGACTTCACTTTCACTTTAACCAAGACAAGCAACTTAGAGCATGAGCAGATTTTGTAGGAAAGATAATGAGTAGGTTTGTATCATGGGGCAGGGGTAAGTAAGTACAACTTGGAATGTGCTGAGATTGAGGGTCCTGATATTAGTGATATCTAACTCTAAGGCTTAAGATGTGGATTTGATAGTTGTCAGGTTATAGGTAGTACGAGAAATGTGGGAACAGATGAACTGGCACACAGAAGTGATCAGCTATCTCAACCTATTTGGAAAAGGTTAGGCATTAAAATAGTCACAGGAGGTCCTAAAGATTAGAGCCAATTTCTTTTTTTTAACAAACAGGAGGTAATATGCTCATCCATGAGGAAAAGTTAATCGTTAATTGCTTTCTATTGCTACTGAATATCTGCCTTTTGACTCTTCCCACTTCCTATTATTTAAAAAAAAAAAAAAGGTTAAAAAAAATTGTTTCAACTTTTTGTTGAGAAATAACACCTAAATAGAACAGAAAACAAAGAAGCAATATCTATAAGGGAGTTTCCTTTAGAAATATTTCAGTTTGAACAGCATGAGGCAAACACTAGAAGCAAAATGTACCAAACTCCATAAATGGCAGCTCACATGCTTAATTTGTTAGAAATAAAATATGACTTACTATGGTTACTATTAAACTGAAGAGAACTAAGGTAAAAAGCAGATGGTAGTTTACAGAGTTCTTCGTCTTAAAACATTCAAACCTTAAAAAGAAAAAAGAGAGAAACTTGTTTTAGAATATAAAACTAGGAAAACAAACAGAATGCTGTTTTGCCATGTGTATACATGCCCTGGGTATACTGGTGCCCATCATTTCCTTGCAACCACACACTCATCTTAGAGAACCCACACTGCCTACAGACACCTGATGTCAACTAAGGGAAGACAGCAGGCATCTTCTGCTCTCCCCTTCTTACAGTACTCATCTGGATACTTCTATTAAATTATCTGCTCTCAATTTGTCTCATGCAGGTACAGGTGTATCAGGATATTAGTTTATAAATGCTCACTGTTACTTTTTCTTTCAATAAATATAGTTTTGACAGAAAAGACAGATCAATAAACAATGTCAAGGAGAGCACAGACCCTAGTCTCAGTCTTAATAGGTTTCAGAAAACAGTGGCTAGAATTTCCATGTTTTTGATCTTAGGTTTTCTAAGTAACCAAATCTGCACTCTCACAGATGGGCTGATGACATAGTTTTCTAGATTGGGGTACGAAACCACAGTGCAAAAACCAGTTTCTCAACCTAAGCCTGACTTGGCAAATAAAATGTACTGGAACACTGTCACACCCATTGATTTATAGCTTATCTATGACTGCTTTTATGCTACAATAGCAGAGGTTGAAGACTTGCAACAGAGACCACAGACCCAGAGAGCCTAAAATAATTACTTCTGGTCATTTACAGAAACAGTTTCTGATGAATTATTTTTAATAATATATTCTTTAATATATTCTTTTAATTTTTTAAAAATTTATCTATTTTTTCAGTTCATTTCAGTCACTCAGTCGTGTCTGACTCTTTGTGACCCCATGTACTGCAACACGCCAGGCTTCCCTGTCCATCACCAACTCCCGGAGCTGGCTCAAACTCATGTCCATTAAGTCGGTGATGCCATCCAGCCATCTCATCCTCTGTCGTTCCCTTCTTCTCCTGCTTTCAATCTTTCCCAACATCAGGGTCTTTTCCAAGAAGTCAGTTCTTCCCATCAGGTGGCCAAAGTATTGGAGCTTCAGCTTCAGCATCAGTCCTTCCAATGAATATTCAGGGCTGATTTCCTTTAGGATTGACTGGTTTGATCTCCTTGGAGTCCAAGGGACTCTCAACAGTCTTCTCCAATACCACAGTTCAAAAGCATCAGTTCTTCATGCTCAGCTTTCTTTATAGTCCAGCTCTCACATCCATGACTACTGGAAAAACCATAGCTTTGACTAGACAGACCTTTGTCAGCAAAGTAATGTCTCTGCTTTTTAATATGCTGTCTAGGTTGGTCATAGTTGCTTTATAGAATTTTGTTGTTTTCTGTCAAACATGAACATGAATCAGCCATAGGTATACATATGAAAACTCTTTTTATTTTTACGTATCTTTAGAAGAAGATATTCTTGAACTAGCAATGATGACCAGGTTGAAAAGAATCAGATAACCATCACATAAGAGGTTCAGACAAGTTTGAAGTATTAATACTAGGGAACAGAAGGTATACTTTAAAAGTTAAGTTTATTAAACTTGTAGGTTATTAACTGCATGACCTTAAGTAAGTCATCTCAGCATAAGCTCTGCTTAAATTCTTAGATAAAATGAGGACAATATCCATTTATTTTGTACAACTGTGAAAATTTAGAGATGACTTGTTGCCCTGCATAATTCAAGGTACAAAGTAGAAAAATGTTATGGATTTTGGATAATATATTTGAGATCACACAAATTCATAAACATTGTTAGTATAACTTCCAAAAGATTATACTCTGTATTAAAATCACAAAAGTTATAATGCAGTAATATAACTGCATTAGTTAATTCCCTATGAAACAAACATGAATTTTAAAATATATCAAGTAAATAAATTTTAAATGTAAATACTTACATGCAGTATACAAATATACAACAGCTGTAGATCATTGGGAGTTCATCCAATAGCTAAAAGAAACAGACAGGTAATAGGACTTGAATACTGTAGAGCTGCAATTATTATTCAAATCCAAAATAAAACAGCAGAATGACTAAGATGGTCACCTTTTATTATCTAATACATTTTACTAATTCTCATATTTATCATCATCTAATTTATTCTCAGTGTGTATATTTATTTATTTATTTATTTTTCCATTTGTTTTTATTAGTTGGAGGCTAATTACTTTACAATATTGTAGTGGTTTTTGCCATACATTGACATGAATCAGCCATAGATTTACATGTGTTCCCCATCCCAATCCCCCCTCCCACCTCCCTCTCCATCCCATCCCTCTGGGTCTTCCCAGTGCACCAGGCCCGAGCACTTGTCTCATGCATCCAACCTGGGCTGATGATCTATTTCACCCTTGATAGTATACTTGTTTCAATGCTGTTCTCTCAGAACATCCCAACCTAGCCTTCTCCCACAGAGTCCAAAAGTCTGTTCTGTACATCTGTGTCTCTCTTTCTGTTTTGCATATAGGGATATTGTTACCATCTTTTAAAATTCCATATATATGCGTTAGTATACTGTATTGGTCTTTATCTTTCTGGCTTACTTCACTCTGTATAATGGGCTCCAGTTTCATCCATCTCATTAGAACTGATTCAAATGAATTCTTTTCAATGGCTGAGTAATATTCCATTGTGTATATGTACCACAGCTTCCTTATCCATTTGTCTGCTGATGGGCATCTAGGTTGCTTCCATGTCCTGGCTATTATAAACAGTGCTGCGAAAGCTTTTGCACAACAAAGGAAATTATAAGCAAGGTGAAAAGACAGCCTTCAGAATGGGAGAAAATAATAGCAAATGAAGAAACAGACAAAGGATTAATCTCAAAAATATACAAGCAACTCCTACAGCTCAATTCCAGTCAAATAAATGACCCAATCAAAAAATGGGCCAAAGATCTAAAGAGACATTTCTCCAAAGAAGACATACAGATGGCTAACAAACACATGAAAAGATGCTCAACATCACTCATTATCAGAGAAATGCAAATCAAAACCTCAATGAGGTACCATTACACGCCAGTCAGAATGGCTGCTATCCAAAGGTCTACAAGTAATAAATGCTGGAGAGGGTGTGGAGAAAAGGGAACCCTCTTACACTGTTGGTGGGAATGCAAACTAGCACAGCCACTATGGAGAACAGTGTGGAGATTCCTTAAAAAACTGGAAATAGAACTGCCATATGACCCAGCAATCCCACTCCTGGGCATACACACTGAGGAAACTAGATCTCAGTGTGCATATTTAGATTACTGTTTTTGAACAAATGAACTTATCTAGCCATCTATCTGTCTTAATGTACATACTTAAGTAGGATGCCTGACTCACTGCTCAGCTTGGATCATTCAGCATCATAAACTATGATAACATGCCTCCATCACGGAATGATGTCCACCATATACAAGTTATAGGTCCTTTCAGTATTCTTTCGCATTTTTTTCTTCATCCTATAGCACCTAAGATAAATAAAATGGTTGGATGGCATCACTGACTCAATGGAAATGAGTTTGAGCAAGCTCCAGGAGATGGTGAAGGACAGGGAAGCCTGGCATGCTTCAGTCCATGGTGTTGCAAAGAGTCAGACACAACTGAGCAACTGAACAACCACTCATATATATAAGAAGAGATAGTAATGGCTGGGGAAGTCAGTTAATGTAAGTGATGTCAAAGTATGTCTCTGAAAAATAATATAATTATTAGCAACAGTAACAACTATAGCTACTATATATTAAACTACAAGCTGAACAGTGGCCAGCTAAGTGTTATGATAATTATTTCTTTTTTGGGGGGGAAGGGTGTATTTCTAATCCTTAAATTAATCCTTAAACCAATCCTATAGAACTTATTCACTAGATATGCATTTAATGAATTCTTTAATAAGATACTACTATACATGAGGCAACATGTTAGGAGCTGAGGATATGAAGAAAACAAGACATAATCACATAATTGACCTCAGGAAATTCATAGTCTATTGAGGTAGAGGGAATGAAAAAATAAGTGATTAAATATACAGCAAATATTCCCGAAAAAGAAGCAAAAGAAACCAGAAAAGATGGTGGCAGGAAATGAAGTGAGATGGCAGAGAAAGGCATGCTAGGGAGAAGGAAGAGAATTTATGCAAAGTGATATATTCTAGTAAATTATTGGAATAATGAAAATGACAACATTTGTGCAAGGTATTATGATCAAATGTTTCACATTCATTATCTCATTTAATCTGCACAATCCTAAGGTAGGAACTATTATCTACATTCCAAGATGAAAACACTGAGGCTTAGATGGTTTAAGCAACATTTCGAAGATCACAATGCTAGTAAGTAACAGAGCCAGATTTTGAAGGGGCTCTTTTATATTATGTTGCCTTTCACTGGAGTCACCTTTAAATGTTCAAAAACACTGGTATAACACAATGACAAGCTGCAGGTAAATCAACCACCAGTTTTATGAACATTCCTTTATTTAAAGTTTTGAACCAGTATCTACTGACTTTACATTAAACATCTAACCCAGAGGAATCCGGTGGAGAGGGAGGTGGGAGGGGGGATCGGGATGGGGAATACATGTAAATCCATGGCTGATTCATGTCAATGTATGACAAAAACCACTACAATATTGTAAAGTAATTAGCCTCCAACTAATAAAAATAAATGGGAAAAAAAAAACATATCTAAATGGGTCTTTTGTATTTCCATTTAAATTTTTAAACTTTTCGTTCCAGGTCAGTGAAAAATGTATTGTTAGGGATTGCACTGAATCTATAGATCACCTTGGGCAATATGGTCATTTTAACAACACTGTTTCTTCCAATCTAAGAACATGGTATATCTTTCTACCTGCTTGAGTCATCTTCAGTTTCTTTCATCATGATCTTATAGTTTTCAAGTACATGTCTTTTGCTTCTCTGAAGTGAAGTGAAGTGAAAGTCACTCGGTCGTGTCCAACTCTTTGCGACCCCACGGACTATATGGTCCATGGAATGCCAGGCCAGAACACTGGAGTGGGTAACCGTTCCCTTCTCCAGGGAATCTCCCCAGCCCAGGGATCGAACCCAGGTCTCCAGCATTGCAGGCAAATTCTTTACCAGCTGAGTTGCCAGGGAAGCTTTGCCTTCGTAGGTAGGTTTATTCCTGGGTATTTTAATCTTTTTGTTGTGATAGTAAATGGGATTATTTCAAGTTCTCTTTCTGATATTTCTTTGTTAGTGCACAGAAATGCAACAGATTTCTATATATTAATTCTGTATCCTGCAACTTTATCAGATTCATTGATGAGCTCTGTTAGTTTTCTGATGTTGCTTTATGATTTTCTATGTAAGTATCCTATCATCTGCAAACAGTCAACATGTGATTTTTAAGGGGACACAATTCAGTTCACAGCACTGTGGTAGTATGTTTTGTAACATAAATTTTATTATTATTCAGGTATGGTGAAGCCAATAGATCAGGAGATGACTGCCACTGAAAAGGAATTTCCTGGTGGTCCACTGGTTAGGACTCTGCACTACCAGTGCTGGGGCCTGAGTGAGCTCCCTGGTCGGGGAGCTAAAATTCTGCAAGCTTTGTGGCAAAGTCAAAAACAAGCAAGCAAACAAAATAGGAGGTTAAAAATCAAGGGGGAACTTTGTCCCTTCAAAAAGAAAAAGAAGGAAAAAATAGTTTGCTATTCACAGTTCCCAAGAGAGAACTTCCTTGCCATGCAGAGCAGCACAGGAAAGCACCAGGGTCAGTCAGGAGGCAGAAAGAGCAAGAGGAAAGTATGGGCAAGAGCCTTTATAGCCGTTTCCCTAAGAAATGCAAGGCAAGGGAAGGTAAGCAGGTTTAGAATTGACTAATTTGAATAACTTCAAGGGGCTCTAGGATATGGGCGTTATCTCTAGTTATCTGGTTGTTGCTGTTACTGTTCAGTTGCCTAGTCCAACTCTTTCCAATCCCATGGACTGCAGGACACCAGGCCTCCCTGTCCCTCACCATCTCCCAGAGTTTGCCCAAGTTCATGTTCATTATATCAGTGATGTCATCCAGCCATCTCATCCTCTGACACCTTCTGCTCCTTTTGCCCTCAATCTTTCCCAGCATCAGGGACTTTTCCAATGAGTCAGCTGTGTGCCTCAGATAAACAAAATACTGGAGCTTCAGCTTCAGCATCAGCATCAGTCCTTCCAGTGAATATTCAGGGTTGATCTCCCTTAAGATTGACTGGTTTGATCTCCCTGCTGTCCAAGGGACTTTCAGGAGTCTTCTCCAGCACCACAGTTGGAAGGCATCAATTCTTTGGTGTTCTGCCTTCTTTACAGTCCAGCTCTCACAACAGTATGCAACCATTGTAAAGACTACACGGACCTTTCTCAGCAGAGTAATGTCTCTGCTTTTCAACACAATGTCTAGGTTTGTCATTGCTTTCCTGCCGAGAGGCAATTGTCTTATGATTTCATGGCTGGCACTATCAGGTACCTGGCACTAAAATGATTAGGGCAGAGAAATACTGCTTCCTGGAGTGTAAGAGGTAGTTTAGAGAACGGGTTCTGAATTGGTTAGTTTGCATATAAAAGGCACAGTTCAGGCTGAGTAGTTTTGCTATATCTAAGAACTGGCTATCCCTTGTATATTCATGTGCCAGGACATCAATACAGAAGATAATAAAGCTGTCATGAACTGAATGGCTGTGTCAAATGCAAATTCATATGCTGAAGGTCTAACCCCCAATCTGATGGTATTTGGAGATGAGTCTTTTGGGAGGTAATGAGGGTGAGATGAGGCCATGAGGGCAGAGCCCTCATGATGGAATTAATGCCCTTCTAAGAAGAGACACCAGAAAACTAGCAAGAAGGTGGCTGACTCCAAGCCAGGAAGAGATCTCTCTCACCAGATCTGATCCTGCTGATACCCTGATAAAAATCTATTGTTTAAGCCATCTAGTCTATGGTATTTTGTAATGGCAGCCTGAGATGAC